AAAAAAAAAAAAAAAAAAAAAAAAAAAAAAAAAAAAAAAAAAAAAAAAAAAAAATTTCTAAACCCTAAACCCTAAACCCTAAACCCTAAACCCTAAACACTAATTTATAAGAAACTCGACTAAACCCTAAATATCAAATATTAAATAATTGTTGATTATAAATAGTTGAAGAAGAGAAGAAGATATAACAATAAATAATCAAGGATCCCTTCATAATAATATTACCCAAACCCTAAACCCTAAACCCTAAACCCTAAACCCTAAACCCGCGGTACCTTAGATGGGTCCCAATAAGCAGAATTGCATCTGCTGCTGCCTTCATTGTTTGTATATCTGATGCTGCATGCAGCAAACCCTCGAAGAAGGGCAGCAACTCGCTACAAACCCTATTATACCTGCACACAAACCCTAAACCCTAAACCCTAAACCCTAAACCCTCAGCCACCCAACCTTTGGAAATCCGCCTCCCAGCTCCTCAATCCCAAACACTAAACCCTAAACCCTAAACCCTACATACCCGTTGTCTGGGTCTGCCTGAATAAGACAAGCAGCAATATCTCCCCCTCTAGCACAGAGGGCCCCCCTGGGGCCCCTATCATCACTGGGGGCCCCCCATTCGCCTTGGGGGGCCCCCTCATGGGGGCCCCACAGCATGCGAGAGAGGGACTTAGCAGAGAAGATTGACCCAAGGAACCCCTTCTTGCTGCTGCTGCTGCTGCTGCCGTTGCTGGTGCTGTTGCTGTTGCTGCTGCTGCTGCTGGATTTAGCACCTTTTCCGTCCCCGTGCTGCAGCTGCAGCTGCTGCTGCTGCTGCTGCACAGGAAAGAAGCGTGCTATTTGCTGCAGCAGCTGCTGCAGCTCAAACCCTTCTGCTGCTGCTGCACCCTCAGCTAATACCTCCACTAATAACCCTGCGGCTAACACTCGCTGGGAGGCCATCTGCAACACAAACCCTAAACCCTAAACCCTAAACCCTAAACCATACACTCCCCCAACTGCCCAACCAACCAGCCAGCTAGCTAGCTGCACAGACTAGCTAGCCAGCTACCTAGCTAGGACCTCCGTAAGAGCCACCTAAGCACGCGTATGGCTATCCAGCTAGCTAGCTAGTCATGGGGGCCCTACCTAGCTACCTAGCTACCTACCTACATACCTAGCTAGCTACCTACCTACCTACATACCTAGCTAGCTAGCTACCTAGCTAGCTAGCTAGCTAGCTAGCTGCTTACCTTGCTGTTGGCAAACCGCCGTAGACGATCGATAGACGAGATGTCCTCTTCTGCTGTGCCATTGAGAGAATCTAATGCTGCACAAACCACCAAAACCCTAAACCCTAAACCCTAAACCCTAAACCCTAAACCCTAAACCCTAGGGAGAAAATGTAGAGAAGGTTTTGTAAGGAATAATTCTTACACAAAAAGAAGCGACTCATTGTGACGTAAAACAGCGGATGGGTAGATTGAATACTTGTGCTGCTGCTGCTGCTGCTGCTGCTGCTGCTGTTGCTGCAGTTGCTGCTGCTGCTGTTGCTGCTGCAGTTTGTGTCTTGCTGCCACCTTGTGTTGTTTGCTGCTGCAGCTGCTGCTGTTGCTGCTGTCTATTTGCCACTGCATTTGTTAACAACATGAATAGGGCTAATTTGCTGCTGCAGTCATTTTGCTGTCGTGCTGCTGCTGCTGCAGCTGCTGCTGTTGCTGCGGCTCCTTCTGTTGCTGATGCGGCAGAAGTTGCTGCTGCTGCAGTTGCTGCAGTTGCTGCAGTTGCTGCTGTCGTTGTTGTTGCTACTGCTGCTGTATGTGGGGAGCGAAGGGGGCTCTCCGCTGCTAGCAGAGGCCCCCAGATGAGTTGCTGCAGCAGATGCCGTGTTGCTGAGGCTGCTGCTGCTGCTGCAGCAAGACAGCAGCTGCCTAGACAGCCGGGGCCCCCGTGTCTTGGGGTATAACAATAATGAGGTTGCTGCTAGGCATTGAAGACACAGGACGAGCTGCTGCTGCCCCTGCTGCTGCTGCTGCTGCAGTTGTTCTGTTGATGTATGGATAAAAGCGACAAAAATTGAGGAGTATGTACACCTCAGTTGCTCTGCATGCAGAAGGCAGCAGCAGCAGTAGCAGCGGCAGCAGCAGCAGCAGCAGCAACGGTCAACGAGCGCTGCTGCTGCTGCTGCAGTTAATGATGAATATAAATAATTTGTTTCCTAATTTATTTTTTATTTATTTTATTTTATTGACCTTCTTTTCTTTTATTTGCTGCTTAATTTGCTGCTTATAAGAGACGTTATGCCTTTTTTGCTGCACTGCTAGTGAGCGGTGCTGCTGCTGCTGCTGTTGCTGCTGCTGCACAGCAGCAGCAGCAGCAGTGTGTTGTTTCTGTCACATATGCAAAGCAGATGTAATATTACTATTTGCTGCAGGAAATTAAATAAATAAATAAATAAATAATTTATTTTATTTATTTTATTTATTATTTATTTTATTTATCCTTAAGAAACGTCAGCATAGTGCCACTAAGCAGCACCAGCAGCAGCAACAACAGCAGCAGCAGCAGCAGCAACACACACGTAGCAACAGACACACAACTTCCATCTTTCTTCCCCTTTTACGTGTTATATTTAAATAAATTTAAATTAAAACAATTAAAGGGAAATATGCGAAGAAGCAGCAGCAGCAGCAGCAGCTGCTGCTGCAGACCTACAGACCTGTAACAGCAGCAGCAGCAGCAGCAGCAGCAGGTGCTGCTGCTGCTCCACAGGCTGTAGTCATATCGATGCTGTCGTTGCTGTGACGGATTTGCTATTACTCATGCTGCTGTTGCTGCTGCTGTCGCTGCAGAAGCAGCAGCAGCAGCAGCAATAGCAGCAGCTGTTGCTGCTGTTGCTGCCGCATGTGGGGCGTTGCTGCTGTACTTTATAGCTGGCATTTCTGTTACTTAGTTGTCGTGACAGCAACAGCAGCAGCAGCAGCAGCAACTGCTGCTGCTGCATGTAAGAAGAAGCTGAGTTTGCTGCCTACTGCTGCTTATCTCCTTCCCCCTTGTGTCTTTACTGTCGGCAGGCGGAGACACCTCTGCATGCAGCAGCAGCAGCAGCAGCAGCTACGGCAGCGTGCAGCTGCATGCAAGCGAATTAAGTGCAGCAACCAAGCCAGAGAGGCAACAGGCAGAAGGTCTGCAGTCTCGTATGGCTGTTGCTGCTGCTGTTGCCGCTGCTGCTGCTGCTGCTGCTGCTGCTGCTGTTTCGGTTGCCAATAGCGAGCTCATGCATTAGCAGTGACAACAGAAGCAGGAAACGGGAGCAGCTATGCAGCAGCAACAGCAGCAACAGCAGCAGCAGCAGAAGCAGCAACCCTTTGTAGCTATAACAGCTGTAGGAGGAGACAGCCTAGCTGCATTCGCTGTATTTGCTGCAGCAGCAGCAGCAACAGCAGCAGCAGCAGTATGCGTCATGTAAGTATTTGCGGCCACTGCTTACCTCGTTAAAAACAACTCGGCCGTTTGTTGCTGCTGCTGTTGCTGTTGTTGCTGCTGCTGCTGCGGTTGCTGCTGCTGCTGATGATGTCGTCTCTCAGCAGCAGCCCCACAGAGCAAACTGCCAAGACACTAGCTGCATGTACACCTGAGTAGCTGCCTATACACCTCAGCGCACGTTGTTGCAGCAACGAGAGACCTTGAACATACATGCAGAAAGACGGCAGCTGCGGCTTCATGCTTCTGCTGCTGCTGCTGCTGCAGCTGCTGCTTAAGTGCCTCTTGCTTCCTGCTGCACGATATTGCCCCTTCAACTAGCAAATAGCCGGGGCTGCTGCTGCTCGTGCTGCTGCTGTTGCTGCTGCACAGCACGAGTTGCGACTTTCTTTATATTGTGGATTTCGTGGCAGCTGCAGCAGCAGCAGTAGTTGCAGCACCAGCAGCAGCAGCAAGGGTCACTTGAGACACAAGTGACCCTGTCCAGCAAACGCCTAGACAGCAGCAACTGCAGCAGCAGCAGCAACAGCAGCAAATGTGTTGGCAGCAAGAGTAACAACTACAAATGGAGTCAGTAGGGGTGGAGGTTCAGCAACAACAGCAGCAACAACTGCAGCAACAGCAACAACAGCAGCAGCACCAGCAGCAACAGCAACGGGGGAAAGAGCAGCAACAACCCTAGCAGCAATGGTGTCTCCTCTGCAATAATGAGCCACTACAGTCATAACTAAAAGCTGCTGCTGCTACTGTTGCTGCTGCTGCTACTGCTGCTGCTGCTGCAGGCTGTTGGCCCAGTGTGCCGGCTGTGGCTGCAGCAGCGACAGCAGCAGCTGCGGTTGCTGGTGCTGCTGCTGCTGCTGCTGCTGTTGCCGCTGCTGCTGCCGCTGCATGCACCACAACATTTGAAATAAGGCTTTTTATTATTATTATAATAATTGAATTTTATTTTGCCGTTGTTTTCCTTTTTGTCTCCTTGAGCTGCTGCTGCTGTTGCTGCTGCTGCTGCACGGTCACCTGTCCGTGTGCTACTGCTACTGCTGCTGCTGCTGCTGCTGCTACTGTTGCTGTTACTGCTGGTGCTGCTGCTGCTGCAGCTCCATACTTTCTAACTAAAACTAACTCCTTTAAATAGATATGCTTAGTTAGTGGGTCCGTCTCTTCTCCCGCAGCAACAGCAGCAGCAGCAGCAGCTGCTGCTGTGTTTGTTGCACACAGGCAGCAATATACAGTCTTTGTCTAATTGAATAAAAGTTAACAAAAGCAAAAACACAAATCGTTGCTGCTGCTGCCCTTCCAACAACTCACGGTTCAGCAGCAACAGCAGCAACAGCAGCAGCAACAACAGCAACAAATCAGCAATATTAGCAAACAGAGAGAAGAGGACGCCGATGGAGCCCCTGCAGCAACAGCCGTCGCTGCTGCTGCAGCAGCAGCCAAGTGGATATGGGACTGCGACAGAAGAGACTGCAACAGCAGCAGCAGCAGCAGCTGCTGCTACTGACCCGGGACATCTCGTGCTGCAGCAGCAGCAGCCGCTGCTTCTTCAGCAGCAGCAACAGCAGCAGGCAGGCAAGTCTGCTGCTACGCCTATTGAGAATCATATATAATATATATAGACATGTATTGCTGCTATTGCTATTGCAGTTGCTGCTGCTGCCGCTGCTGCTTCTGCTGCTGCTGCTGCTACTGCTATGCTTATCATTATTCTCGTTACTTTTAGTATTGCTGCTGCTGCTGCTAAAATCCCTCTGCTGCAGCTGCTGGTGTTCTAGCTGCTTTCGTTGCTGCTGCTGCTGCTAAAGCTGCTGCACATGCTGCTCATAGCTCACATCGGTGTCTGCTGCTGCTGCTGCTGCTGCTGCTGCTGCTGCAGGCAGCACATGCTGGCCCAACTATTTCCCCTTATGGGATTACAGCAGCAGTTCTCCTGCAACAGCAGCAACAATGTTGCCGGGGGCCCCCGCAGGGGGCCCCCCAGGGTCTGTTTATTGGGCAGGAGGGTACGAGCCGCAGCTGCTGCCTGTCTCCTTTTGCAGTGTCCCCTTTACTCATCCTCTTACGGTGTCTCTTGCTGCTCCTGTCCCTGGTGCAGCAGCAGCATCAGCTAGTAGCATGCTTACGCCGCAGCAGCAGCAGCACCTGCTGCAGCAGCAGCTGCTACCCACTACTCTTCTCTGCAGCTATAGTGCTGCTGCTGCTCCCACGCTGCAGCAGCAACTGTCTCCTCTGTCTCCTCGTCTTATCTCCCCAGACGACCGAGGTAAGAGGGCACAACGCTGGTGCTGCTAATCCTGCTGCTGCTGTTATGCTAAGGATAGGCAAAAGCAGCAGCAGCAGCAGCAGATGCGCAGCAGCAACTATATCTGCGGCATTAGGTGCCCTAAACCCTAATCGAAAACCCTAAACCCTCGCATACACTCTAAACACTTTGTACTCTACTCTAAACCCTAAACCCTAATCGAAAACCCTAAACCCTAGCCTCTTCTCCTTCTTTTCCTTGCAAAGGAAATCTCCCTTTTGTTCCTACTAACAAAATTTCTTGCAAAACCTCTTTTTAGGGTTTAGGGTTTAGGGTTTAGGGTTTAGGGTTTGCCGATGTTATCATCGACAGGCAGGAGTTGCTGCCATACACAAATACTTTTATCATAAAAGCCAACAGAGGCCCCAATAAATCGCTGCTGCTGCTGCTGCTGTTGCTGCTGTTGCTGCTGTTGCTGCTCCTGTGGTAGACAGCACAGCTGAGTTATGCCGTAATTCATAGACTTGTGGGGTTGCTGCTGCAGCAGCCGCTGCAGCTGCGGCGCTGCATCAGCCCCCGCTGCAGGCAGCAAAAACACCCCACATAAACAATCTCCCCTTAACAGCAGCAGCAGCAGCAGCACTAGCAGTAAGCAGCACCTGCACTAGCAGCAGCAGCAGCAGTAGCAGCACCAGCAGCAGCAGTATTTGTTGCTGCAGCATGTCTTGCTGCTCACCTGCTGCTGCTTCCATCTTCCAGACCTCACAGCCTCCGTGGCAGCAAGCAGCAAGTAGCCAATGGGTATTCTGCACAGTACCCACTGAGGGGCCCCCTGGGGGCCCCTTGATTGGGGGCCCCCAAGGGGGCCCCCATGAAGGGCGAAGCCTCCAGACGCCCCCCAGTGCCTCCTGCTCAAAGAGGGGTTGCCTCAGCTGCCGCACGTCGAAGCAGCGGATGTACCCATCGTAGCTGTGGGGCCCCACAGCAGCAGCAAGTGCAGCAGCAGCAGCAAATACAGCAGCAGATGCAGCAACAGCAGCAGCAGCAAAAAGAAGATTATTTGGAGAAGACCGAGGAAGGCATACAGAAAGCTAAGAGGGTTAGGGTTTTCTCTAGGGTTTATTAGAGGGTTTAGGAGGGTCTAAGGAATTAGGGTTTAGGGTTTAGGGTTTAGGGTTTTACCTTCCTGATAATAAATGGAAAGAAGAAAAGGAAGAAAAAGATAAACAGGTTACCCCCATGGTGTGGCTTCTGCTGTTTTCTGCATGCAAAAGGGGGTTCCTGCTGCTGCTGCTGCTCCTGCTGCTACTTCTGCTGCTGCTCCTACTGCTGCTCCTGCTGCTGCTGTTGCATGCTTCTGCTGCAGCAGAACTGCAGCAGCAGCGGATATCCCATAGGCGCAGCTTACAGTCATCTGCCCCTGTGCAGCAAATGCAGCAAATCAGGTGTATGTACACCTCAACATTATTAAACATTAATGCTGCAGTGTCTAGGCAGCTCTAAATATACAGCAAAAACGCAGCAGCAGAAGAGCAGCAGCGGGTACAGCAGGAGCAAGAACAGCAGCAGAAACAGGAACAGGAACAGCAGCAACAACAGTTGCTGCTGCTGCTGCTGCTGCTGTTTGTGTGTATACAGACCTGTGGCTATGATAGTTCCGTTAGAAGATGGGCTAACAGCAATAGACCAAGCCTCAGCTTCGTGCGCCTGCCTGCAGCAGCAGCAGCAACAGCAACAGCAGCAGCAGCAAGGGGAATAGCAAGCAGCAGGCAAGGTGCACGGGAAGCAAAAGTAACACACGCATGCGACCTGCACCAGCAGCAATAGAAATGCACATGCAAACTGCAGCAGCAGCAATACTTATGCAAACTGCAGCACCAGCAGCAGCGGCAGCAACAGCAGCAGCAAGACGCATGCAACTTTGGGGCTTGCCAGCGGAGAGTGACTCTTTCTAAGTCTTGAACAACAGCAGCAGAACCATCGGAGCAAGTAGCAGCAATTAACCTGCAGCAGCAACAGCAGCAGCAGCAGCAACAGCAGGAGCAACAGCAACAGTGTATATGGAAGAGCAGCACAGTACGCAACACATTAGGTGCTTAGAGCAGCAGCAGCAGCAACAGCAACAGCAGCAGCAGCAGCAGTAGCAGCATACTTTGGCTGTCCATGTAGGGGATCAAGACTGAGGCCAATTTGATCTCTGCTTGGTGACAGCAGCAGCGGCACACGAGCTATAGACTTGCAGCTAAGGCTGCTGCTGCTGCTGCTGCTGCTGCTGCTGCTGCTGCTATTGCTGTTGCTGTTGCTGCTGCTGCTGCTGCCTTCGTCGCCGTCATCCGAGTGTCTCGATACTCGAAATGCATGCAAAGCGCAATCCGAGCCAATGACGGCCAACAGAGAATCAAAATCCCCCTGCAGCAGCAGCAGCAGCAGCAGCAGCAACAGCAGCAACAGCAGATGAAGCTGCAGCGGGGGCAGTTCTAATAGCAGGGCGGGAATGCTCAGCAGCAGCAGTGGCAGCAGCAGCAGCAACAGCATGAGAAAGAGCAGCAGCAGTAATGGCAGCAGAACAGCAGCAGGAGCCAATTATCTTACCGGCAGCCCGTCGCTGCTGCTGTTGCTGCTGCTGCAGCAGCAGCAGCCATCAGCAGCACAGAGCCATCGGGCGTCTAGACACCCAAAAGAATCTGTTAAATGCTCAAGAACACAACGGACAGATGGAGCTGCTGCTGCTGCTTCTTGCTGCTGCTGCTGCTGCTGCTGCTGCTGCAGGCTGAAGAAGGAGAGGCCCCCCTTACGTGTCCTGGTGGCCTCTTCGTATTGATACATCCCTACTACAAACAGATCGCTGCTGCTGCTGCTGCTGCTGCTGTTGCTGTTGCTGTTGCTGCTGCTGCTGCTGCTTCCCTCTGTTGCAGAGAGCTTTGGAGTTGCAGCGGAATCCTCCGCTGTTTCTGCCGTCGTTGCGCCTGCTGCTGCTGATGCAGGAGCAGCAGCAGCAGTTTGCTGCATTCTATCCACTGGGGAGGAGTTAATTAGGATTTCGTGGTTTAGGGTTTATAATTTAGGGTTTAGGGTTTAGGGTTCAGCCTTTAGGGTTTAGGCGGGCACTCCGATGGAGACAGCAGCAAGGGGCCCCTGTGGGGCCCCTAAGGCAGCAGCAGCAGCCGGCAAGGGACCTTGCTGCTCCTGCTGCTGCTGCTGCAACAGCAGCAGTCTCCCTAGACAAATTTAAATAATAAAAAATTAACTATAATAATCACTAGTGATATTATTATGTTAATAAAGAACAAATATGCAGGGGCAGCAGCAGCAGCTAGAGGACAGCAGCAGCAGCAGCAGCAGCAGCTGCTGCTGCTGCTGCTGCGCCGAACCAGCGGTCTCTGTACTGCTGCTCGATGTGGCCGCGTGCCTTCTGTCTGTCCTTAATTGTTTGAAACAAACCCTAAACCCTAAACCCTAAACCCTAAATACTAAACCCTAAACCCTAAACCCTAAACCCTTGCGATTTCTCTCCTTATTGAGATACGCCAACCCAACTCGCCACAAGTCGGCAGCAGCCGACACTGCAGCAGAAACAGCAGCAACAGCAGAAACAGCAGCAGCAGCAATAGCAGCACCTGGAGTCCTTGTTTTATTATCTGATTTACCAACATCTGCTAGGCTTTTTGTTGAGGCACACAGCAGCAACTCTTTGTGCTGCTGCCGATTTGCTGCTGTTGCTGCTGCTGCTGCTGCTGTCGAGGCGGTGCAGCGTTGGCAACCGTAGGGAAGCAAATCGACGGTTATACCCTGTAAATTATTTTGGGTTTTATACAGCAGCAGCAGTCGCAACAGCAGCAGCAACAGCAGCAGCAGCAGCAGCAGCAGCAGCAGCACCGAACGGCTCGACGGCGGAGGTCACCTCGGCACGTAGGGGCGTAAGGTGAGCAGCAGATGCAGAAACAGCTGCAGTAGCAGCAGAAACAGCAGAACGTGCAGCAGCAGCAACAGCAGCAACTGCAGCAGTAGCAGCAAGATGCCGGTTGAGGTAGTAGGTCTGTTAGGGGCGGCCTCCTCGCTGCTGTCTGGAGGCAAAGCTGCTGCTGCTGCTGCACTTGCTGGTAGCAGCAAGCCAGCAGCAGCAGCTGGTTTATCATTTTTAAAGGGGGGAGGTGTGGGGCATTTGCTGCATGCAAAAGGAACTGCTGCTGCTGCTGCTGCTGTTGACGGTACAGCAGGGGGCTGTCAGCTGCTAGCTAGTGCTGTTAAGCACAGCAGCGCAGCAGCAGCAGGATCTCCTCCTTCTATCAGCACAGCAGCAGCAGCAGCAGCAAAAACAACAACAACTACAGCTTCGGTAGGTGGCAGCAGCACCACTCCCCCTGCAGCAGCAGCAGCAGCAACAGCACTCTCCACGAAGTCTGCTTCTGCAGCAGCAGCAGCAACAAAAGGACATTATTTTGCCCTCTCTAAATCTACTGCTGCTAGGGGGGCCCCCCATCCCCCAGGGGGCTCGACCCGCATGGGTGGGGGCCCCACCAGGGGCCCAGGTGCGCAGACAGCCCAGCGTCCTGGCGTAGGTGGTGCAACCCCTCATTCTGTTGCTGCAAAGGGTGGGGCCCCACAAGTGAAGGGTAAAGGGGGCCCCCCATCTGGGGCCCCCGCGGGGCCCCCCTTACCAGGGGAGAAGAGCGTAACAGTAACAAGGGACTATGCAGAGCAGACACCTGCAGGTATATTACATCATATAACAAGAACAACAACAGAGTCAATAGACACCCTAGAGCCGCAGCAGCAGCAGCTGCTGCAGTTGCTGCTGCCTGCTGCTCTCCTTCCCGCCTCCAGGGGAGGGTACCCTAGGGGATCCGGATGTACTGGAGGCCCACGGGATGGGGGCCCTAGGGGCCCCGGGTGTACAGGGGGCCCCCGGGATGGGGCTCCCTGTACAGGGGAAGAAGAGGCAGACACCGTAAGCTACAGCGGGTTACCAGCAGGACCACCGCCACAGAAGCAGCAACAACAGCAGCAACAGCAACAGCAACAGCAGCAACAGCAGCAGCAGCAGCAGCAGCAGCAAAAGAGACTCATTAGCAGCATAAACAGGAGACGAAGAGTCCGCCGCAGCACAATCGTAAGAAGATCGGAGACTTATGGATCTTTTCTTTAAGGAAACAAAAAGGAGACAATTGTCTCCTTTTTTGTCGCCTTTTTTGTCTCCTTTTTTGTCTCCTTTTTTGTCTCCTTTTTTGTCTCCTTAGGTGTCCCCTTATGTTACTTATTTAGTTACTATTATTTACTGCTTATTATTTATCATTTATTATTTATTTGTTTGTTTATTATTTATTATTTTATTTATTTATTTATTTATTTATTTATTTATTTATTTATTTATCTATTTATTTTAATTTATATATTAGGCCCGCTCTCCGCTGCATGCATGAGTAATATATATATAA